TTATAACTAATTGCCCACGTGACTAGCAGTCTCTCCTACTGAACACTGCAAAGAAAAGACATTTCCATCATCCCAGGATGTTTAGTGGGCAGTGTTGTTCAGAGCATGACCATGTCACATCCATGACCTTGCCACCCCATCTCTTTGAATTCAGTGGTGCTCTGCCCTCTGCTCACAAAGGTGGTGTCCCCTCATCCCTTCTATCCCCTTAGAATTCCTGTAGAGTGTCTTGCTCTGCCCAGTATCACTCCATTGTGAACCTTCTCTTGGCTTTTCTAGCCAGAGTCTGAGCTCACTTGTTTAAGATCTCATCTGGCATTTTTTACTTTTAGGACACTTGTCATTTGCTCGTGTAAAGCAATGTATTCATTCACAGTAGAAAGTTGAATAATGGCTGCCCAAAGATGCCACATCCCAGTTTCCACCTCTTGGCACATGCATCTTCCATGGCAACAGGGACTTTATAGATGTGATTGAAGATTATGAGGTGGAAAGAACCGCTTGGATGACACTGAGGGGCCCAAAGAAGTCATTGCAAGTGTCCTTAGGAGAGAGATTCAGGAGGGTCAACATGAGACATATGCGATGGTAGAGGCTGAGGTTAGCATGATGCACCTGGAGATGGAGAGGAATAGAAATCAGGCATCCCTGAGAAGCAGAAAAGAGAGAAGCAGATTACCTCCACCGAGTTCCTGGAAGCAGCTCAGCTCTGCTGATGGGTTTCAAACTTGCAGGGTTATAGCACAATGACTTCGCTGTCCCTCCCAAGCTGGATCATGCACACATTCTGAGAGCCTCATTGGATGTGTGAAGTACATGGAAAGCCAAACCCCACAGAACTTTCCTACATTTGTATAAATATATAACATTCATCTTACAAACTAGGCATATTAAAAGATAGACAGTGGTAACTCAATGGTCTTAGCAACCTAATCATAAGATTTTTTTCCCTTATGGCTTCCCCTTGTGATGTCTGAATGCCCAGTGTCATTACTTTTGTACTTTGGGACCATGATTAAGTAAAATAAGAGTTACCAGGCTAAAAGAATTGTGATACAGCAGCAGTTGATCTGAGGGCTGAGCCAGCTACCAAGTGACTAAGGAGAGGGTAGCATACATAGAGTGGATACACAGGACAAAGGATGATTGACAGTCTAAAATTCTACCATGCTACTCGGGATAGGATACAATGTACAACTTCAGATTATTTACTTCTGGAATTTTCTCCTTTTCCATTCTGAGGTTGTGGTTGACCATGTGACTGACCCCAATGGAAGGCAAAAGTGCCCATTGGGGTAACCATTCTAATGCATCTACTCTTCCATCTACCCATCCATGTATCTCTGTACATGTCTGATGTCCATGGTGTACTCTTGTTCTGTGACAGATCTATGTTACCATAGTAAGCTTGAGCCAGCCTTGTTGTTGAGGAAGGAGAAGGCAAGGGTCCTAGAATCTAAGAATTACAAAGTAAGTCAGAGGCTGGAGTACATGGGGCCCTTCCTTCTGGTGTGTGATGTTGAAGCTCTGACCTGTAGATGGTACCGAATGACGAAGGATTTTGCATTACTGGTTTTTGACCAGACCTGTGTGTGACCTGGTTTGGATCTAAATCAATGCTGGAGGCTGGCAGACGTAAGGCTGCCACAGTTCTCTGGATGAGAAACAACAAGAAAGGCAATCAGGAAAGAGATGGGGTGATATTTAGGTGCTATTTCAGAGGCAGAGTGGAGAGGGCTTTGTGTTCAGTTAGATGCTGTGCACGAGAGGGCAGAATCCAAGATGACTCGGCTCCAAGATGACTCCGAGAACAGATGACTCTAAGCTCAGTGCCTGGCACACAGTGGATAAGACGCGATTGTCTTGAATTGAATGGTGTGGCGAGAAGACAATGGGGTGGATGATCACTGGGAGGAAAGGATGATGCCAATGAATATGAATAGTGGAGGGAAATAAATAGAAGAATAAGCATGTGTGCGCGCATGTGCGGGTGTGCGGGGGGCTGGAAAGGATGTGAGCCTTGTGCCCTGTCAGCCGGTGTGATTTCTGCGGCACCGTTTATCCTTTACTCTGTGAGCCAGATTCACGCTCAGAGAGTGAATTTAGGAAACTCTACCCACCTTGCACATGCCAGCTCTCTCAATGGCATGCTTACCAACTGGATTGATCTGGAAGGGCCTGAGAAGGAGGGAGGGAGCAAGTGGTGTGGGCTGACTTTTAGGGCACTCACTGTGCCATCCTGAACAAAGGCAGCGCCCCCGTTTTCTCCCTGCTCACGGCCCACACGTGGGGCAGTGTAGACATCTTTAGGCTGGACCCTCTTCAGGGATATGTGGTGATATATCAAAAGGACACAAATGATCTCTGCCCCCCAGAGTGGCATCCTGATGCCACCACACCGATGGAGGGATAAACAAAATGATCCAGAAGAGGCCATGATGTCCCTGGTTCCCACCAACGGTGTTCTGCTGTGGATCAGCTGTCGTCCCAGTACAACATGTCAGGGACAAGGGTAGGTGGACCAATCTTTTCCTTGACTCCTGTCTCCAGACATTGTTCTACCTGTTAACTGTGAGCTCACAGACTGAGAGAACTGGGAAGGTCTTACTGTTTAATTCAGTTTAGAAATTCTGGGTTGTACAAATATTCTTCAGTCTGGATGAATTCTGAGGCCTCTTCCCCATAACTGTGGCCAGCGACTGAGGAGGAAGCAGAGATTGCCATAAACACGTTTGTCTCCAGGGCCCCGTGAAGCCTGTGTGGAAAGGCAGCCCACGAGCGAAGCACAGCTGGGAAGGAACACACATCCAGCATTCTTTCCTGTGCCTGGCATGCTCAGCAGGAGGCCACAAGAAAGGACCAGCCAGTATCCATCTTCACAGTCACCAGTGAGCATCTGCCACCAGAGCGAGACCGCCGTGGTAACCGGACCAGTCTCCTCATTTTCCTTTCATTTGGGTTCTAAAATTCAATTTTTCTACTGAACCAGGGCAGAGTAATAGATCAGAGCCATTCTGTCATTTTCCTATCACCCTGGAAGCTCCACCCATCTTGTTCCCATCAGGCCACTTTACTAATCTATAGCACTGCAGTTTTCAAAGAGAGCTTTTCTCTCTCATTGTGTGTGTGTGTGTGTGTGTGTGTGTGTGTGTGTGTGTGTGTGTGTGTGTGTGTGCTGTGGGATGTTCTGTATGGCAAATGTGTTGCTGATTAGTCATTAAATAAAACACTGATTGGCCATTGGCTAGGCAGGAAGTGTAGGCGGGACAAGGAGGAGAATAAAGCTGGGAAGTGGAAGGCTGAGTCAGAGAGACACTGCCAGCCGCCACGATGACAAACAGCATGTGAAGATGCCGGTAAGCCACGAGCCATGTGGCAAGGTATAGATTTATGGAAATGGATTAATTTAAGCTGTAAGAACAGTTAGCAAGAAGCCTGCCACGGCCATACAGTTTGAAACCAATATAAGTCTCTGTGTTTACTTGGTCGGGTTTGAGAGGCTGTGGGACTGGCAGGTAAGAGAGATTTGTTCTGACTGTGGGCCAGTCAGGAAAACTCTAGCAACATGTGTGTGTGTGTGTGTGTGTGTGTGTGTGTGTGTGTGTGTGTGTGTGTGCATGTGTGTGTTCATGTATATATTCATATTTACGTATGTGTGTACACATGTGTGTGCACATGCAGGTGAAGGCCAGAGATTGATGCTGGAAACCATCCTTCTGTTTTGAAGTGTGTGCTGAGGATCCAAAGATGGGCCTTCATGTTTGCACATCAGCTAGGTTATCTCCCCAACATCTTTCTTTTGTTTTTTGAGATAGAGTTTCTCAATATAGCCTAGGCAAGGCTGGCCTGGAAGGTGCAATCCTCCTGTCTAGCCTCCAGAGTGTCAGCTCTTTTGACACTACTTCTATACTGCTCTACATCAGATGAGGCAATTTAGTTACACTTTCGTGTAAGCATTCCCTGTGGGTACCACTGAGCCCCTGTGGGCAGAGGTAGGCTCCCCAGCTTCTAAATTCCCATCGGTAAACTTCCCTTTTCTTGAATGATGAACGCTTTCAGCCATAAGCAATGGTGTATCTTGCACATGATCTCAGGTGGGGCACTCTTCTTGCACTCCAGTTAAGTTTTTTTTTTTTTTTTCACTCTCTAACCTTTAGTCCTAGCTGGTTAAATGCTCCCACTTTCTAGCTTCTGCTGTGGGTCTATCTCACAGAACCTGGAGTGGTCTTCAGAGATGGTTGCCTGCCGTGAGACCCTGAGCCTGGCTTCACACAGTCCCTTTGGCCTCCTGTGCTACACTGTCACTTGTCAGCTTCATGTTTCCATCACCGTCCTCTACCATGAGGTGATGTCAACCAATCTGGGGGTGGGGACAGGAAACACACACACAACCTCCCTAACATTTCAGTCAATCATTCTGATTGCTTGTGTTCTCATTCAGACTCTGGGGGTTGGACAGATGTGGTACGGCCCCCTGGCGGACCCTGACATTCGGAACAAAAGCTGGGCAGGACAGAATCCACTTCCAGCCCCTTTGGACTCACTCACTCACCAAGGCTTCTTCAGCTATTGAGCGGGAGTCTGTACACCAGCCCTTCCTGCCTTCTGTGATTAAGGAAAAGTTAGAGGACTATGATGGAAATATGGAAAAGGGTCCAGGCTTCCCAGGGAAGAAATGGAGCTGTATAAATCTAAGGCAGTTACGGCCTCCTGGGGGAGGGCTTCCAGGGGTTCCTTTGTGTTGGCCGTGCTTGCGTGCGCCAGTTGCCCAGTCATTTTCCCTCCTGCACGGTTAGGCTTCAGGTCGTTAGGCTGAAAGAAACATGTACTTCCCTGGAGGAAATTTAGTCACTCCCCTCCCTCTCCCACTCACAACCAGACTCCAGGAATCTCTGAGCATCTCTTGGAAGGGACTTAGAAGTCATTTAGCCCAACTGCCAGGATATTCCCTTGGTGAGCAGACAAGTGGGGTATAAGATAACAGCGTGGTTAATTCTCCATTATTTGGACATGGAATCTTCAGAGACAGAGAGTAAGAGACGTGCTCTTGCGGATGCTGGCGCTGGAGCGCTTTTCTTATCTTTTCCCTCTCCAAGCAAAACAACCCTATATCGCTCCACTGTTCCTCAGAGAACGGATTTTAAACTTTTGAAATCACATAAATCGAAGCCACCTTCATCTAACTAATGTGGATGCCGGCTTCATTTTCCTTCCAAAAACTTTTGGCGATTCCCCATTCAGGGGGGATCGACAGCATTTGAAATCAGATGACAGAATTACTCTAGCTGATACTACCCTTCAGCTACATCGCAGGACCAAGAGGCTCCGCTAACTGCTACCCGCCATAACGACTAGCAATCACGGTGCCATCACTGAAATGAATTAAATTATTAATTTCAATCGCACCCCACGGTGCGTTTATAAATCCCACCATCTGGGGAACATAAATATGGAGGTCCACATTCTAAACTTGGAGGCATGGTGCTGAGTGCCAAGGGCTGTATCTTTGAAGGCAGTAAAGATTTTTCAAGACACTATATGTGGAGCAGCAAGCTGTGCGATTCTGAGAGGGCTGTCCCTGCGCCTCGGCTAGCTGCGCCGTTTACTTGAGGTTCTGATGGGAGCCTTCCTCTTTTTTAACTGTTCTTACCAATAGACCCAATGAATTAAAAAATCTTCATTTAAGAAGGATATAAAATGGGGAATAAAATAAAGCAGTGACTCGGCTGTTTTGCCGCCCCCTCCTCTCCCTGTTGGATCCCTTCAGCTCCTCCCAGCATCTCTGTTCTTACGCAGTAGCTTCACATATGTAGCTATCTGTGTTAGCATGTGACCCCGAGCCAGCTATTCTTGGATATTGAATGTTTTCCAGATCTGTCTAAAATGTCAAGATAATTGTTCCTAAAGAAAAGGGAATGGAAGATCTAGGATGAGTATTTAACAGACCCCTGTAAGAGATTTAATTCTCCTTCCTTATGTGGAACCATTTGACCAGATGTTGGGGTTCAGGGACCTTCCCTGTTTGCCATCTGTGACATCCCCAAGGGCTGGTGAGAGAGGGACACTTCTAAAGAGCGCATGTAAATGACTTTCATGGAGCCCGGCAGGGGCACTGCATCCTGTCTTCCCCTAATGTGGGTTGCCAACTCAAAGCTAAGTCACAGCCCAGCCTTCAGAGGGTCTCCATGCCAGAGTCCTCACACCCACAACAGCCTGATTTCCATGGCACAGGGTTTCTTCCCTGTGACAGCAAGGAGAAATGCGGAGTTTTCTGCAGAGCGAATATTTTGAATGTTGTGATTCAAACAGGATCTTGTCCTGTTTTCTGGGTGGCCAGGGCTTTGTTGAAACTTTCTGTCTTGACTCCTTGATGGTAGGGACCAGTGTTCTGTAGTCCAGTGACTCTTCAGGGTACATACACATAAAACTGGACAGAGTGTAGCTGGCAGTGTCAATGTGCTCCTCAAACTGCTGCATCCCCCACCCCTCCCCTGTATGTGCCACTGACCATGGCTGTACAGCGGTCAATGGAAGGTAGTCCTATATGTGAAGAGAAAAGAAAGTGTTTGGGGATGGGATGTTTCCAGAGTCTGCCTTGAAGGTGGAGTCCCTGTAATTTCCGACAGAGGTAAGCATCAGTGTAAAGAGTACTCGTTTGTGCCCAATTAGAGTTTCATTTCTTCAGTGAGTGTTGAAGATGCCTGTCTTATGTTACTTAGCCAGATTAGCCTGCTCTGAGCCCTGTTAGGACAAGCAAATAAATTGAAGCGGCAATCACCATGGATTTAAATGAAACTTCTGATCTTCATGGCAAAGTCCTTGCCCGCAGCCTAGCCTCCCTTTTTCTCTCTGGGTTATAAAATCAATGCACATGGAATTTGAGGGAGCTGATCCTTTGGAGACTTCCATGTCCTGAGCTTATTAATGACAATGAAGGACCCAAAGTCAGTGATTTATGCACTGTAGACACGGTTCTCCCCAACCTCTGCTGGAGTTAGTAGACTGGAATAATTACAGACTAAATAACGATGATAAGAAGGAAATGTGCTGTAGTTGGAGTTAGTGGGCTGAGAAAACAAATGTTCCCAGTCTCAGGAGAATCTGTTTGCTGCGACAGAGGAAGGAAAGACAGAAGTGAAGAGACCTTGGCCTGATCTGCATGAGTTCAGTAACTGGGAGACATTGTGCACTGCTTTCACAACCAACACAATACGACAATCAAGAAGAGGCCTTCAGCAGCCTGCTTGGTGTCAATCCCCACCCTGCTGTGGGAAAACACCCAGTGGGCACGGCTGTTGAGGTGAAAATCTAGAGTGTTCACTGCTCTGCACCTGGCGTGGCTGCTGCTTCTGAGCTGAGCCTGGAAGACCCAATGTGAGAATGCACTTGAGCTTGAGTTTGCTTTCTACAGAGGAACACTCCCTCAAAAGAACTGAGAAACGCCCTGCCAAAAGCAAACTGTGGTTGCTTGGTGTGAGTGTCGCATGACTACCCTGGTAATTTCAGGATGTGATAGCTGGTGTTAATTGTCAACTGCATCCTAGAATCATCTGCAAAGTGAGTCTTAGCGAAGAATTATTTAGATTATGTTGGCTGGAAGGCATGTCTATGCGAGAGTGTCTTGATCAGTGGGCAGACTGCCCACTGTGGGTGTCACCATCCCCTAGGCAGGGGAATATGGATTGTATAAGAATGGAGAAAGCCAGCTAAGCACTTAGAAACGTGCATATGTTCATTGCTTTCTGCTCTTGACTGTAGATGGAATGAGATTAGCTGCTTCAAGTTCCTTGATTTCCCTACAATGATGGACTATAGCTGGAACTACATATGACTTTTGACAGGGTATATTATAACATCTGGAAATGAAACAGGGGTTCTTTTATCTTGGAGTGTCCCAAGGACTCACCCTACGTAACTAGTACTTATACATTTCCAAGCTGAATCCCTCAGCATCCAGTTCAAGTATCCTGGCCTAATGATGGAGGGCCAGTGTTCACAGAGAACCTGGTGAACATGGCTTCCTGCTGCAGAGAATGACTGCCCTCCATGTTCCCTTGAATCTCTACCAGGATAGACAGCACTGGCTGACACTGCCCTGTGGTGAATACAGGGAACAGAGAAGACAACACTCATTTCATATGGTGCCTTTGAGCAGGCTGGGGAGAGAGACACAGAAGCACACTGGCGACATCTTCAAGGACAAGCAGCACAGAAGAGATGTTTTCTTGCGTCTTGGACAGTATGTAAACAGCCTTCACCCTGGGAAGAGTGAATGCCTGCCTGAGCTTAGAACTCCAGCTCTGCATCCACTTAGCACTTCCTGTTCAAGGGTAAATGCTTATCCTAGCAACTCCTTTTCAGGGAACATTTTTTTTTTTATAATAAGATGTGATGGCCAATTTAATTGACCCCTGAGGCCACAGGATAGAGAAACAGCAAAGCTCTGTAGAGAATTATTTAAGGAAAAGGACACAGAAATCTAGAGCATTCATGATTCAATCCCATATAATAGGATATGTGTAATTTAACAGACATTGAAATAAGATCTTTTGAAGGGGTGTGTGTGTGTGTGTGTGTGTGTGTGTGTGTGTGTGTGTGTGTGTGTAGGGGTATTTGCATGTGAGTGTAGGTGCTCAAAGAAGCCAGAAGAAGGTGTTGGATCTCCTGGAGCTGGAGTCACAGGTAGTTATGAACTGCGTGTTTTGGAGGTTAAGAACAGGTCTTAGGTCCTCTAAAGAAACATTAGATGTTCTGCGTCTCTCTCCCCAGCCTGATCAAAGGTACCATATGAAATGAGTGTTGTCTTCTCTGTTCCCTGTATTCACCACAGGGCAGTGTCGGCCAGTGCTGTCTATCCTGGTAGAGAGTCAAGGGAACATGGAGGGTAGTCATTCTCTGCAGCAGGAAGCCATGCTCACCATGGCTTTGATCACGGAGCCATCTCTTCACCCCCCAAATACGATCTTTAAAGGAGTCACCTGATTTCCTACAACCTTCATTTTCCTACTTGGTTGTATACCCAGGAAAGAGAATAGGGCTAAGGGGAGGGCACCTCTGTCTGACCAAGGACAATTTCCACAGAGAACAGCTGGCTGAGCTTTGTCAGCTGGCAGTATGCCAGACAGCTGGGGAAGGGAATGCGTTCTTGAAGTGGGCTCTGGTGGTGTGTCCCAGGACTCACTATACCTGGCACAGCCTCTGTAACACACACACACACACACACACACACACACACACACACACACACACACACAGCTCGGAGCTGTTTAATTCAATCATCTGTCAGTTCGACAGTGTTTGAGTATCATCCCTTCACTTAGTGTGGGTCATCTCTAAGCCTCCCAGAGCCCTCCAGCAGGGGGTTATCTCTTTCTCCCAGTCCTCACTAGGGCACCAGATCCTTCATCATTGAACAGTGTGTAATGATACCCCAGCTCTCCTGTTTCCCTGGAATCAAATTCTATACAAATTCCAGTGGTTCCTGCTAGTACCATGGACTATATCCTGAAGCTCCTTTACTCTATCCTGGTCACCAGTCCCTCTGCGGACACAGCTGGGCTAGATTGGTACCTGACTAGATTTTGGTCTGGTAGCCATGTAGAGAAAGGGGAGGATCCCATGCCACCCAAGTCAGGGTCTGTGCTGTTACCAAGCAAATGCAACTTGTGACCACCTCAAGGCTCAGCACCCAAGTCCTTCTAAACCAGACCTCTGCTTCTGGCACAGACGACTTGCTAGGATGGACCAATCTTCTCTGAAATCTTCAATCTTTAGATTCAACAACAGAGCCTTATCCTAAGATTTTTCTGGTCTTTGGATGCAAGGCATGAAACTTTTTTAAAAAAAATTTCCAGGCAGGTCACTGGGCACTCTACCTAACGGGTGGTTAGCTACCTCAGGCTCCCAATAACTCTTTAGTGCACCCGAAGCACTGAGGAGCAACCACCCAGCTCCATCATTCTTACAGTTTCTACGCTCCCCAGGGCTCTCAGACACTGGAGATTTTCTATCTCCAATTCATCTCATGTGGCTGGCACCACACCCCTACTCTCCACCAGCGAACATCTTATCAGTTGGACCACTAGAGCACCCTGGAGCTTGTCTGATGGCATTTATCACCTTCCCAGGTTCCTTGTTGCCAGTGGACCAGCAGATGCCCAACTTCCAACCTCTCTTGGAATGTCATTCCTTAGACTGCCCCCGGCATCAATCTCCTGGAGTCAAGTTCCCAAGAAAATCCTTTCAGAGATGGAGATAGATTGGAGTGTCTTCTTGGGATACTGCTTCTAGAGGCAATGCCTGTGAAGGAGAGAAGGCAATGTGGAACAGGGGTGATGCCTTTGCCGAAGAGGTTGCAGGCTATACATGAAATGTCCTGGAATAGGACATTAATAGTTACTCCAAGGAGACAGGGTGCAGGGGTACAGAATAGTCATTGGATACACACTGAACATGGGGACGAGGGAAAGCGCCAAGGACCTGCCTAGTGATCTACACTCCTGGTGGCAGGATGGTGTCACGAGGAAAACTGGGCACCGCCCCCCCAGCATTCACTCACTGTCCCAGCTCTACAGAGCAGGCTCCTCTCTCTCTATAGCTCTACTGAGTTTTTGCCTTTACACACCCCAGTGACTAGGTAACCTCCTGTTAAGCCCTGTCTCAAAGCCTCTAACACCTCCTGTAATGCCAAGCTGAGAGCCAAAATTTTAACTTGTGTGCCTTTGGGAGATGTTGCAGATCCACACTGCAGCGTCCTGGAGGGTTAATGTCAAACACCAGAGTCTCCTTGGTGAATGCTTGGAGCAGTCGCTAACTTACTCAAGATCAATGGCCCGACTTAGATGCAGGTCGCAGGTGCTGGTCACAGCTGCTTCCTATCTGTTTTTATCATACTGGCAGCCATGTAAATTGTCATGTGACTTCACATTTTCTACCCATATCAAGTTTGGGGCACTCTACCTGCGAGGTTTGCTACATTCTAGATGTCCTACCTGCTCTGACCTGTGTCTTCTCTCACCCAGCTGAGCCTTCTTGCCTAGCATACTTTATTTTGAGGATGCTGCTCAGGGTACCTTTTTTTTTTCATATAGACCTTTCTGTAGCTCTAACTAATCTTGCATAAAATCAATTGTCTGTGTGCCTGTGCATGCATAGGCATGTGTGTGAGTCTGTGTGCATGTATTGGATGCTTTTCTGACTTTCTCCTGATATCCACCTCTCTCCTCTGTAGCTCTGTGGCCTCTGGAGACACCTGGACACAAAAGTACCCACTGCTTAGTAAGGCTTTGACATGGCTTGTATTCACCTTTTGCACTAAAAATAACGACTCCTTAAGAAAAATCCCAGTCCCTGTATTCATGCTGAACACCCAGTGAGTTCCCACTGGACACTGACTGATGAGGATAGTTGAGAGTGATAGTTCCCTGGCCAGAATAATCTGGAATAGCAGCATTACCCTGGTGTATGCACAGAGGTAAAGATATGCTGAAACTCACGCTCAGCACTCTAGTCACCAATCAGAAATGCTCTATGCTTTGAGGAACTTGTCAGTATTTGTGCAAGATTGTGAATTATTAGTTGCTACTTAGAAGGAGTTTCACTGTAGAAAATGCCACTCCACTCTTTGCTAGGTGGTCTAAGCGAAGTGTGCCTCATTGTGAAGACTTCTTTATTGAGCTCAGATCCCTGCTTCATGGCCTCATGCCAAAAGTCCTTGACTACCTTGTAAGCACACCCCTCTCCAGGCAAAACCAGGACAAACCTCCAGCTTACCACGGGCAGTCTAAAGAGCTGTAGTACCATTCTCTGGGACTTGGACTTCCTCAGGCCAAGGGCAGGAAAGCAGAGTGGTTGACAAGCCTCACTTCTGAGATGTGCCCTGGACCTGAGAGTGGTCATATCTCACTCCCTGTCTCATGACCACAGCCAGGATTCCAATATCAGTCTTTTCAAGGGTCTGTACCAGCTTATGTACCACCTTATTCCTGGATGACCCTGGCTCTCTGGTACTGAATTCAACGGAGATTTTAGTAAAGATTCCTGTCTTATGCCACTGATTTCTCTCTCTCCCTCCCTCTCTCTCCTTCTCTCTCCTCCCTCTCTGTGTGTTCAAATATGTGTGTGCATGTTTGTGTATAGCTACACACACAAACATATATGTGTATGCATGTGAGGTCAGAAGACAACCTTTAGTGTAGTTCATCAGGTATCTTTTACCATCTTTGTTTGAGTCAAGGTCCTTAACTGGCCTGAAACTTCACCCAGTGGGCTAGTCCAGATGGCCAGCACTCTGTAGAGTTCCACCTGTCTCCACCTCCCATCTCACCACTGCTGAGATTACGACGTGGGTTCTGGGGATCCAGACCCGGGTCCTCATGCTTGTGAGGTAAGCGCTTTACTGTCTGAACAGTCTCTCCATCCTCTAGGAAGCCTCAACCCCAGCCCTTCAGCTGATCTCTGCCCAAGTCCTTGATCCACCTGTAGGACTTGACCTTTTGAAGATTGTTGCAGAATTTGGTCCCTCCCATCTCTCCCGTAGGAGTGGATTTATTATAGAATGTCTTCATTCTCAGGTTGCCATGGGATTTCACATACAATTCTCACCTTGGAAATAAGAGCAAATGGCAACTGAAACTCATGTGGGTTCCTCATAGTACGCATTGTTAACTTGACAACCAAGAGAGAAAGTACATGGAGAAGCAGCCAGGAGAGGAGTAGCTGAAGGCTGATGTAGAGGGAGACTGAGGCACAGGCCCAGTTACATAGTCAGTACAGACTTGCTCTGTGTGCAGGGAAGATATTCTGAGACTCTGAGTGGATGCCTGAAAACACACAGGATGAAATCCTATGTGCAGCATGCCATTTCCTAAACATGCAAACACAGATTTAGTGTTTTATTCGTCTTTGACTAAGACCCTATGGTGTATCATGTCTGTATTTTTGTGACTACCCAAAACTAACATTGAGTTCTTTTTCCTATCAGTTTCACAGATGGAAGACCCTTTCTCACACAGATGTCAACAACTATAGTTTATGATTTTTTTTCTATTCTTATCGTCAGATCCATCTACCCTTTTACCAAAGAATGTACTTTGTGGCTTCTCTTCTGTGTATTCAAGTTCCAGCATCTCTATTCTTACACACTGGGGACAACATTAAGTAAAATAAAGGTGACATGAACTCATGTTTTGTGATATTTTGACACTCTCTCTGATATCCAAAATGTCCACCAGAGGACTAAGGAGAAGATAGCCTACACAGTATGGATACTGTGGGCAAAGGAAGTGTTCGCATCCCACTGGGAGTGAGCCAGGTAGAAAAGGATTGCATCACACTATTCAGCATGCAACTTAAAACAGGATTATTGACTTCCGGAAGTTAACTTTTTCAGACTTTAGTTGGCCTGGTAAATGGAACTGTGAAAGGGCAGCTACAGCTAAGGGTCTGCACACCTTTCATCTCAGTCAGCACCCAGGTTCCAGGACTCGGGTACCTATATAAACATCCAAGATGGCTAAATTCTTTCTTCCTGGCTATGCAAGCCAGACAGACTCTGGAATGGAGCACCCCAAAGTCCCCATGCCTTGTGTTCTCTAAGATCTAGAAGTGGTGATGTGGGGTCAGGGGCCTCTCTACTCTACAGACAGGGCCCAAGGATGACCCTTTTCAATGTTAACTCTCAATAAGAGGCCCAGGTTTTGCCTGTAAGTCTGTTGACAGTGACTCCAGAGGGTTGAATATAAACAATGGGATGTTTTTGGAATAGCCTGCTCATATTTTCTTTTCTTTTTTTTCTTTCTTTCTTCTTCTTTTTTTTTGTTTGTTTGTTTTGTTTTTCGAGACAGAGTTTCTCTGTGTAGCTTTGGAGCCTGTCCTGGAACTCGCTTTGTAGACCAGGCTGGCCTCGAACTCACAGAGATCCGCCTGCCTCTGCCTCCCGAGTGCTGGGATTAAAGGCGTGCACCACCACCACCCAGAATGTTCATATTTTCTTAGCCTAAACCACTCATACTGGACATAACTGATTTCAAGCTGTAGAGCTGAACTATCGTCTCCATTCCTGGAAGCAGAGGAGAATGGGATGCAGGGGCATTAGTGATGCATATCAAATCAGATCAAGACCGGGCTATAGATCCTGTGCATGGTTTGTGGGAGGAGAGGGGATGCTCCATATTGCCCTATTCCCATACTGGGAAGAGCAGAATATGGGAGAAGGTGGGGAGTCACTAAGATCTTAGGTCCCACAGGCACTCCACAGAGAGGAATGCATTCTAAAACACAGCCAGTCCACAGCCAGGAACTGTAGATCACTGGGAGGACCCAAATCTGGTCTCTGAGAATGGTCTCTTCATTCTTTCAATAACAAACGTTGCCCAAATGAGAACAATGTAAAGCTAAACTGTTGCTATCAGGCTTGGCCACGCACACACACACACACACACACACACACACACACACACACACACACACACACACACTGAGGATATCTCTTCAGTGAACTGTCCAAATTCCACTTTTCCTTGTCATCACTGTGACACCATCCTGTGTGTTGGCTTCGCTGATACTATGAGCCCTGGCTAGAGAAGAGCCCTGCAGCTGGTCCAGGGATTGAGGCACCATCTTTGGTTTTATTAGCATCATGTCCTGCCTGATCCTGTCACTACATCTCAGGATCTTCCAGAAATAACCCAAGTCTATAAAAATACTATTTAGATGCAATTACATATTCTTATATCCTAAACAACTATATATGGTTAGTATTGTCAACTTGATAGAATCTAGAATCACCTGGGAGATGGATTTCTGGGCATGCCTGTAGGAGATTTTGCACATACACACACACACACACACACACACACACACACACAGTAAATTTATTCATTTATTTCCATCCCTTTTGCAGTTTCTCCTCTCTCCTTTCCTCCTATTCCTCAACCCCACCTCCTCTCTGCCCCCCCACCCCCCCACCCCCATCCTGCTCCATCCATTCCTCCTCTGTTTCTGTTCAGAAAGGGACAGGCCTCCTGCGGGTGTCACCAAAGCATGGCATATCAAGTTGAGGTAGGGCTAAGTTGCCCCCTTGTATTAAAGCTGCAGGAGATTATTTTAATTGCATTAATTGAGATGGGAAGACCCACCCACTGTGGGTGGCACCATTCCCTGGATGGGATCCTGGACTACACAGGTAAAGAAAGGGACGTGATCAGCAGCATGCATGCACTGTCTGCTTCCTGTTTACAGACGCAGTGTGACAAGCTGCTTCTTGCTGCCATGATGTCCCTGCCATGGCTGGCTGTGTCCATGAACTGCCAGTCAGAGGAAACCTCTTCTCCCTTGAGTCTCTTTTGCCAGAGGGTCTTACCCCAGTGACAGAGGCTAAGGACCTAAGATGCACAGACACGGAGGATACAGAAATATAAAGCTGCCTTTCAGGACACAGGAGATTGTGTCCAAAGTTTAAGAACCACTTTAAGGGAAGTGTTTTCCTTGGAAAACCCACTATGGAAATGCCCCAGCCTCAGATTCTCCAGTCGAAGACATGCTCTGCTCCCAAACAGAATCTCTCGGTCAGGACCGGTGATGTGAACTGGATCCAAAGAGGGTGCCAGGGATGGGGTCACAGATGCCAGAGCCCCAGCACGGCCTTGACCTGACAGCTATGGCAGAAGGGACCTCTGCACACCCCGAAACCTCCATCGCCTTGGAGCCTAGGAGCCACACCCGCTACAGTTCAAGTGAGCCACACAAGGAAGGGAAACGTCTTGGAAAACTCCTGTGGATGTGCATGTCCAGATTATCTCACTGCAGCCACATGCTCTTAAAATCCAGCCGTCTGGGCTTTTCTTGACCCCAGGTGAAGAGGTGACTTCCCTCTTTGAGTCAGTGTTCATAATTGGGCTGTCTGTTAGCTGAGGTGGGGAGAAAACAATGCTCTAAGAGGTCAGGGGTTCAAGGCCCACGTGGGTTAGTTAGTGTTCTTCTGTTCTTTGGCCAAAAGTCTATATCCTCTATGCCTGCCCAGCTACTCTGATGATAGCAGGGGCATGGGGGTGGGGGGAGGGGAAGCTGTGAGTGTCTCTCTTTCCAGACCTGCTCTTCCTGTTCAAGAAAACAAGACCTTACGTCAGCGATGCCTTCTCCAGGGCCGAGGACTGTTCCATTAGTCAGCAGTGAAGAGAACAGCAGGTCTCATTCCCCAACGGTGGCCAGGAGGCTGGAGGTGCAGGAACAATGGTTACAGCCCGGTACCAGCTTGGTCTCTTACTCAAGTGAGAACATAGCAGAGGTGAAGTCCTTGTTACCCTGAAGTGATTTATTATTATTATTATTATTGTTGTTGTTTTCTTTTGTAGTTGCCAAAGTTTCAACATTTTCTGCACATTTGTGTAAAGAGTAAAATAGGTTGCTTCAAATTTCTTCTGTTTTTTTTTTTTTTTCTATAAATGGTATCCCCTGACATGATTAGAGAAAGAAAGTTCTCAGAGGAGGCTGGGAAGAGCCCCAAGTACTCCCAGACACCCACTTGTGGCCTGGGGGCTTTTTAGATGTTACTTTTAGCCACAGTTCCTGATTCCTCTGGTCTTCTGTGATGACCACATGACTTCTGGATGACCACATGACTCCAAGATGGCATTAGCCCTACATGGTGGGAAAGCCATGAGCTGCCACATGGGCCAGACGTGGTCTTATGAATCCCTAATTTTGTATGCGTGTACCTATGGTACATGCCTGGGAAAGCTGCTCTACTTCACGAGCCTCAGTTTCCTTACTGTAAAATGGGAATATCAACATTTACGTTATAGGACTGCCAGGAGAACTGCGTGGGGATGTATAGTCTGGCAGGTGGAGAGTGATACTCCGCAGATTTTTAAGCTTTTCTTTTACTGGCTGGAGTTCTCAGTATTGTATGCAATTCTTTTCATTGTTACATTTCCGCCGCCTTCCCTCAAGGCCACGTGCATAGAACATTCCTTCCTGAATTGTCATGGGCAGATGCTGTGGAAAGTCCTCCCACCTGGCTCAGCTCATCTGAATTCACCAGCAGCCACCATCCTCAACATCTTCCCAGGATCATCCATCTCAAGGACCTGGGCTTTCTCACTGTTTTGCTTGAGGATGCTCCAAGGACCTGGAGAGCTCAGGGCTTGTGCTGCCAGGGCACCATCCACCAGAAGGAAGCCACTCTCCCTTCCTCAGGTGAGAGACTCAGCCCCAAGACTGTCTCAAGGGATTCTCCAATCCATTCGCTTGACCTGATGAAGTCCACAGCGAGACCCACCCACGAGGCCTCTGTGCTGGCTTTTCTAACTTGCCATATTTCTGTGCTTGTGAATCCTGCATTCACTTTGAGACTGACACACTAATAACCACACTTAGGAAGTGCCTGAATGTTCACTTCTAACATAGACTTCTAGCCTTTGCGTGCTCATCTAGTTCAGGATTTTTTTTTTTTTTTTTTTTGAGAACCCAAACTAAAATACCCATCTCTTGGAATTTTTGCTTCTTTTATTTCCAATGTTTGTATATAGTAAAATTAACCTTTTATTTTATTAACTAATTAATTTTTTGAAGACAAGGTCTCACTATGTATCTCTGACTAGCCTGGAACATCCAAGCTGAGCTCAAACTCATAGAGATCCACCTGCTTTGAATCCTGGGATTAAAGGCATGTACCACCACTCCCAGAGTAGTTAAGGCTGGGAATTGTGGATAGAGCTCTTAACCTAGAATGCACGAGGCCCTCTGGTTCAAAACCCAGTATTGAAAGAAAAAAAAAGTGAGAGGGTCTGTAAGTCCCGAGTCTTGACAAGGAAAGTGCTAATATAACGGAGAGCGCAATGGGACACACAGCAAAGTCTCACACCAGCACATTCCCTCAGGGTGCGGTAGTCCACACACCTCTCACCCCAGCCCTGCCTCCAGCAACCAGGAGACCTCTTGAAGCCCGGCTTCTTGCATGCTGTTTATTGCCTCTGAGTTCAGCATTCCACCCAGAACTTGGGAGGCAGAGGCAGGCTGATCTCTGTGAGTTAAGGCCAGCCTGGTCTACAGAGTGAGATCCATGATAGCCAGCACTGTTACACAGAGAAAAAATACAGCATTCCATTCTATGGACATAAGACAGCTTATCAAACTCAGGAGACCGTAGGACTTGCCGCACAGGATGACCAGGACTCCGGGGCCAACACTATGCCGTTTTATCCCACACCAGAACGTTGAGTGCTCAGTAGATGTTAAGCCTGTGTTTGCATCACCCTGCTCTCTCCTTTGCAGACCTCCGCTTTAGATGTCCTTCTGCATAGACAGCTCTTTCACCCTCGCACCAGCCTACTTGCTCCTGATTCCTATCACTCCCTGTCAAGGGACAGCCCCAATGTCGACCTGAAACTCTTTCTTGTCACCCCATCACAGCCTTCAGTGCGTTAGTAAGCTGTGAGCTATGCCAGGGCAGAGAAGGTCTTTACCACACCAATCTGTCTGATGGATGGATGGGTGCACATCTGAAGGAAGGAATGAACGAATGAATGAATGAATGAATGCTTTCATTTCATCTCTGCCTGTGAGTTCCAATTGGACGTTTCCTCTGAGCACTGCCACAATGCAACCTCTTTACTGCGTATGTGGGTGGGTTCCTGCTACTCACTCCAGGACCCTGCTTGCAGTCAGCCAAGCGCATGTTGCTTCTTTGACAAGTTGGATGCCGAGTGGAGAAACTTGAATGCTTTCATCTATTTACTTTTACCACATGCCATAGAAATTAAAAATACATTGTACCACAAGTGCTGTATTTAGTGTCTCCCTTTAATTACATTCAAGTGTGTTGCTAAATAGTCTTGAGGAAACCGTAATGACCAGCTGTTCTACCCTTTTCCCATATGTCAGAGATGGTTTCTGAAATCACATTCTGGGACAGGCAGGTCGTATAATTAGACAGTGTATAGTTAACACTTCTAGATTTCTCCCTTAAACTGTGGGGCCTTTACACTAACATATTGCATGATTCTGCCAGTTTGGCACAATACAATTAAATGATGTGCCAAAGAGCAAGGAGAATATACCAGCGCCATCAGTCGTGGGCTGACAGTGTAAGTGTGTGTGCACTATGCAAGATTCAGTGTGCTCAGCTGACAGATACACTTAGGAAAGAGGACTTTAAATTTTTAATAGTCCCTTGTAGTACCATTTATCTCGTTATAATTAGATGTGAAAGTAGCTCTTTTTTTGTCCTTTCAAACAAAGAGATATCATCCAAAATATACAACAACCATTTAAGAAAACAGAACTGAAAATCTCTGGGGTTGGATGAGAAGACAATACGGGTTCCTGTGGGGGACATGGGAATTGTTTTCTATTGCCAAACTAGATTTGGAAGATAAAAGAAGATGGGTTGAGATAAAGGATTATTGTGAGATAAGCTGTGGCTTCCGGCAGTTGTCTTCTTCAGTTTGGGGACTTGTCTTGAACCACAGTAATAGTTCACTTGATCAAATTCAGCTAGTTCTTTGAATTTTAAAATGCAGACGTTGAAATAGAAATATAAAATAAAAGAGTCAAATCCAAGTAGATGATGTTCTTCATGTTCCTCTTCCAAGGAAAATGACCTGATGGTCATCCTAAGCCAGGAGTCATAAATGTAGCTCTGATTTCAGAGAAGACTTGTCCTCAAGAACACAGCCAATTCATGGCCAAGGCTTTCTTCCATCCGAAAATAACAAAATCACTTTTAAAAAGCCTGAGCGAGGGAGGTACACTCTCCCAAAAAGACCGATTTACAACGCTTTGTCTGTACATTTGAATCTCCAGCGACTTACTCAGATGTAAGCGCCGACAGCTGTAATCATTTTAAATCTTGCTTTGTGTCCTGAGTTAGAATGGTGTTCAATTGATATTCAGAATAATGGCAGCAGTGTGGTGTGCTGCTTTGAAAAGGACCTGAGTACAATCCAGTGCTTTGGGAAATTGACTCGCCAGAGGGTTAATCCACATTTAGAACTTGCATTAATAAAAACTCTACCTTGTGCCACAGGGTGTTCAGAAGACTTCATTTTTTTGAATGTTTTAGTTCAGCAACATGGCTTCCTTTGTCCTGACTTTTAAAGAGATTTAAAAGTTGGGCTCCTGTGGTCATTCTGCAAGGCCCCTTACACAGAGCCAGATGCTCGGCTCACAGGTGCAAGGATGCCTTTGGTGTGGTGTGTTGACCTAGATCTCCATGAACCAACAGAGGATCACGGACAATGACTTGATCTGGGAAACTTCAGCTTGTGTCTCCAACCCACCTCAGAGTGCTGTCTACTTTCCTCCATCTTTTCCAGAGTTTGGTTAGCCAAACCCAGCCGGAAGAGAGAGCCGAAAGCAGTTGGAGGGGGAAGATCCATGAAGCGGCTGCTCTGCCACAGACGGTGGTTAGCAGCATTGGTGACTAGAGGGTCCTTTAAAATACACAGAAACCTCCGAGTCCCTCACATACAACAGAGAGTCTTGTCCTCAATTTAAAATAAATCATTCAGATGGAAAATAATTCATGTCTTCAAAGAGTGGACTGAAGTAGAGAGAATGATAATGAAGACAGGAGGGAAAAAACCATCTCTATTCCCTGTGAGTAGAGTGGTGTGCTCCTGTATGACCAGGAGTCAAGGTGGCAGGCAATGGATTCCGTCATCGTTCTCTTTAGATAGGCCTGTGTGTGCTTGGCCATGACTGGCTGCTTCTCCTCTGCTGAGGGGGACTTGGGCCTGGACTACCCCTCATGCTAGGGAGAGGACTCAGCCACACAAGCAGGAGGATCCCCAGCACCTGGGCAAATGTTGCGTGGATATGGAGGCCCACCTCTAATCCCAGCACTCTGGAAGCAGAGACAGGAGACCTAGGAACAAGATGGTTGGTTAATCTAGTCGAATCAGAGGTCACTGGGCTCAAATGAGAGACCCTGCCTCCATATATAAGCCAGAGCATTATCAGAGAAGATGACCCACATAGACCTGTGTCTTCTACATGCACACAAATGTACATCCCCCAAACACACATATACACATGCATGCACACCACAAACATACATGCAAAAGAATACCATCCCTTACTATGTGCTCTTTCTAGCAGACGCTCTGTGTTTTATCTTCACATAGAACTCCTATTCACCCTTCAATGCCCAGCTCAAACGACACCCTGGCTACGATTCTTGCTGAACTTCCATGATGCCTCCTCTTTTTGTCTACTTCTCTCTTACCTCTGAGCTTCCTCAATGTCTGGCACTTATCCCAGGGGCTCTGGTTACTTTCTTTCTTCTCCCACACAATTCTGTTATTTAGGATTCAAAGTCTGTTGCCGTACATTTTTGTTAAGGGGCACTTGTCCTTCTGTAAGGATTAAGCACATTTTAGACTCTTACAATAAAAAAATTAAAAAAATGTGCATCCAAGTGTTGAATTGTTTTCCTTAAGCTTAGTAAATAAAATAGCTTATAAATTAAGAACTTACGCCTACTTTTGAAATGTAAACATTTTCAGGTGAATGTATATATATATATATATATATATATATATATATATGTGTGTGTGTGTGTGTGTGTGTGTGTGTGTGTGTGTGAACACATTTCTGATTTTCAATATCAAACCATAAAATGCATATAATATAATGATACAATACAATGTAATGATTTACTTTTCTGATCTCAGAGGAAAAATTAGAATGTAATCAGATTGATTTATGATTTTGACTATATCTGGTCAATCTCCCCACCTCGAGAAACACTACTGCCTAGATTATGAATTTCCCACAAGATTTTGATCTGCTTCAGTGTAAGTGTGTATAGATTACACTGAGGAACCGACAAAAATAATTTTCTGCACTACATGATTGAAAGAAAAGTTTTTTTGTGCTGTATTGATCAAAGGCAGGGGCGATAGGGAAGAATGCCCCTTTTCTCATTGTGGAGGGTGGTGGCCACCATCACACACACACAATGTTGTCTCCCCAAACAGACTCAGTGAGACAAGACTCATACAGACCAGGACTTAGAAAGCTGCACTTACAGGCCCCATCCAGGGCCCCACTTATTCCTGCCATAATAAAAGGTCACTGAGGTACCGTTGGGCTCTGTGGTGGCTCTTACACCATCCCTGACTGCCTCCTGGTCACCCTGGCAGAGGTGATGTATGAAGACAGATACTGACCGGCAAAATGGAAAAACGCTCATTCTCAAGCTCCTTGCCAGAAATATTTGCCAATAATGTTTGACCTAGAAGCTTCCTTTTGTCTCAAAGGCAGTGTAGCCAGGTGAGCCCTGCTCTGTTAGTGTGGTCACTTGTATCTTTGTGACACACTGAAAATGATCCTCATTAGAGACCCTAGTTTTGGCTTTTGTTTGTTTTTGGTTTTTGTCTAAGAACTTCTCCATAACTCATGCCCAAGCATGCCAATTGTTCCTCTAATGTGAGACCGTATTTCACTTACCCCTACATGCTAACATAGGCCCTAACATGGCCCCCAACACCATTGGAAGCTAATGATGCTTTGGTTAAGTGAATGTCTATAACTGAGCTGAAAGGGAGTGCAGAACTGTAACTCCAACAGCTTCCACTCAAAGCCCCAGTGCACCTTCTCAGTTCCTGCACACACTTCCTACTCCTTTCTATGGACTTTTGTTTTTCTGTCCTTACTCAACATAACTTAGGAAAACACAACTGCCATCCATTGTGAGTCTGAAAAAAAAATCCAAGAGCATCAAATGATGCATGCCTTTCTCTGTAAAAAAGAACATGGCCACATTCTCATTGCTCGGGACATGCAGGGAAGCACAATTGGACTCGTCCTGAGAAATGGTGCAGATGGTATATTTGGCATCACCAGCCTGCATAGATCAGAGATGCATTTATTTCCACGACTTTGTTTGCGTTGTGACCATTTATCTGGGCTCCTGCTCACATCTAACCTCTGAAAGGATCAAGAGAGTGAAGCATTTTACTCCTGGGATTGGAAGGCATGGGGATGTTTGCATTTCCTTCTACCTGCAAAATACTCATTTCTTGCAGCATTAGAAAACATTTGGTTATGTTATCTCGTGGGTCCAGGAGGAGCACGGAGTGTGCCAAATTTAAGAGGCACCGCCAAATGCCGTAGCCTGCATTATGTAGCTGGGGCTGCCAGAAGAACTGGTGCTAACTAGTTGTACATTCTAGCTCTTGCCTCAGAAGCAAAACAACCCTGTTAGTCATTTCCAACTGGGCTCCCAATGCTCGCCTTTGCTTAGAAGATGTCTTTGTTTCTGTGTGCAGATGCTGGCCTGTGGGCACAGCTGATTGGCTGCTGTGACTGCCCTCTTTGAGCTTGGTACAGTGAGCATTGATTGCCACAGCAAATGGCTAAGACCTTCTGGGGACTTGGACATCATGTTTTTAGCAAAAACCTCTGAGGGCCAGATTCTCACCTTGACCTGAGCCATACTGCCCTGGGTCGTCTTACAGTTCTTATGTGTAAAATGGGGATAGATCACTTAATCTCTTGGAGTGTTGGTTTTCTCCCCTTCCAGCAAAGACAATCATAGAACTGTTGTGAAAAACTTGTTATGGGTGGATGCACTGGATACATAATGCCTAGATGTTGTGGACTGTTGGTCTGTAGACCTGGCAAGTGTTTAGTAACTATATGAGGTGCTGGAGATGGGGTCCCCGTGATGGCATCACCACAATGTCCTGCACTCTGTACTTGACAAGAAGACCATCTCCATTTGAGACTTCATGGCCTTAGACCTCAGGAACTATGATTTGAATAAACTCTTATACCTGATAAGTTACTCAGTCTGTGGTACCCATTATAGCAGCAGAAAGCAGACTAAGACAGACTGATACAATGTATCTGAAACGTCTGGCCTACTAACTGGAAAAGAGAGGGCTCTCGGCAAAAAGATCAATTACTTCTCAGTGTTATTATTGTATTTACTGATATTGGCACACACCAGTAGAGGAAATCAAGTGAAATAATGGGTGTTAAATACTCAGAACTTGGTGGATGTAGGGCTTGTTACTGTAGATGAAAGGCAAGTACTTGACTATTGACGCAACATGGCACAGCTTTTGGCCCAGAGTCCTCACCTACTTAAATGAAGAAGCCACTGTGACCTGTGCTAGGCCCCCAAAGAGACCGGTGCCCAACCCTGGGTGATCAGTTGTGCCAAGGTGTCATCCATCTGTGATGTGCCTGTGACAATATTGCTGAGCAGAACCCACCTGCCAAGACCGGCTAGGCATTGGGTCATCTCAATTGAGACATTCTTCAAGAGGGACTGGGCAATGACAAGTGTGTGCTGGGGGTCACCTACCCCAGTAGCAGCATTGGAACAGATCTTTCTGGCTTGCCTGCCAGCTTGCTGTCTCAGTTGACCTGTTGACCTAATGGGCTGCATTGAATGACAGTTATTGCTGCCCAGCCCCCCTTGGCTTTGCAAAAGGGGTGATGATGGGAGAGACTGGGTGGGGGTGGGGAGCTCTCTTTCCGGTTGCAATGTGGAAAGGAGGGAATGAGACTGCCTTGGGTGATAAGAGAGGGTGTGGCTGTCACATGCCATCCTTTTTATAAGAACATTCTCTCCTGAAGAAAGATTCTTGCAAATGTTCTCATGACCTTGTCATGATGAGTCTTTTAAATTCAATGAGAAGAGATCCCAGATGCTCAAAGTGACAGCTACTGTCACAGCAGAGACTCTGGTGTCACACATGCTTCACACCACCCAAAATCCTCACCGGTAACAACCAGTTGAGGAAGAAGCCATGCAAACTGGCACGAAGTTTCAGTGGCCTTCTCTCAGGCCACGTTGTCTTAGTTGGAGGCACATATATCAGGCATCCAACAGGAACTGAAGAGCAGTGTAAGAACAGATACTAAACACTAGCGCTAGGTCTCCTCCAGGTGCTTTCTATGCATTGGCTCATTTTATCCTGGAGGTGAGCTCTTCAGGGAGTTAATGTTATTATTGCCCATGTTAGAATAAAGAAATAGAGCTCTGAAGAATTTAAGTAGTCTGCTCAAGGCCACACAGCAAGGAACAGTTGAGCTGCAAATGTTTGTGATGTTTTGTTCAAGATTGAAATTTTATCCTTGGTTCATATATATATATATATATATATATATATATATATATATATATGAACATACAACATATAATTATATATACATACATATTATATGCTAGATAGATTTGAAACAGTCTTGTGTAGCCCAAGCCAGCCTCAGACTTGCTATGTAGGATGACCTTGAACTCCTGATTCCCTTCCTCCACCTCCTAAGTCTTGAGAGTGAATGCTCACCACTGTGCTTGTCTTAAAAGTTTACATTTTTCTATGTAGATAACTAGTAAAGATTGTGCAAATTCAATTATACCAAAGCATTTAGAACAAAATTGGTGATTGATATGAGGCCATCAAGGAAAGAAAGAAGCAGGGATAGGAGGGAGGGAGGGAGGGAGGGAGGGAGGGAGGGAGGGAGGGAGGGAGGGAGGGAGGAGTGAGAAGGAAAGAAAGTAGGAAACAAATTTGGTGGTATAGATCTGTGTGTGTGTGTGTGTGTGTGTGTGTGTGTGTGTGTGTGTGTGTGTCTGTGTCTGTGTCTGTGTCTGCGTATATATGTGTGTGTTTGTGTGTGTCTGTGTCTGTGTGTGACAGAGAGAGAAAGAAATAAAGAACCAAGAAGAGAATAGTATTTTTTCCATTACAAGGCTCCATGTTTTCTGTACTTCCCTGATGGTCTAAGAGCTAGAATTTTGCACTTCCCAAGGCACCTGGTTTTCTCTGCTTTTCTTGTTCTTTCACAAATTGCTGTTCTCAGAGAAGTCTCACATAGTGACCCAACACATTCTACCTCCCGCCCCCGCCCCACGTCCTCAGCATGCTCTCCAGAAACACAGCCAAAAGAACTGGTGGGCCAGCAAAGCGTGTGTTGTGCGAGCATCAGAACCTGAGTTTGTTCCCCTGTATCCCTGCCCTGGGGAGGCAGAGAGCCCGGAGATCCCAGACCTGCTAGCCTAGCCAAATAGGTGAGCTCCAGGCTGATGAGAGCTACTGTCTCAGAAGATAAAATGGAAGAAACCGAGGAAGACACCTGCCCTGCCGTCGAGCCCTTGCCTCCACACACAGGCACATGTGTACATTTGAAAACGCACACGTGACAACGCACTCACACACAAATACAAAGGGGGGTGCAGGGGTGTCACCCTCCCGGGCTCCAGCAGCGTGAGTGACAGAGGACACAACTCAGTAAATCTTCATCGTCTTTTTCTGACACCGGGTAACTGACTTCAATTCAAACCAAATCCGCTGTGTGTTTCTTTTCAGTGCTATGGGCTGAAGAGAGTTCTCTAAAGTTCAGGTTGAAGCTCTGACC